ATGTATATGTATATGTATATGTATATGTATATGTATATGTATATGTATATGTATATGCATATATTCAGTTTTTTACTCCTAGCAACTGCCTGGACTAGTCCCTGCAGTTTTCTTGGCAAGATTTCAGAAGTGGTTTGCCATTGCCTCCTTCCTTGAGCTGAGCAAGCATGACTGGCTCAAGGTCACCTAGCTGGCTTCATGCCTAAGGCAGGTCTAGAACTCATGGTATCCTGGTTTCTAGCCTGATGCCTTAACCACTACACCAAACTGGCTCTCAACTGTATCTATAGTCTTCATATAAGACAACATTTTAACTGACAGAGCAGTGCAAAGCATTAAAAAATGCTTTGTTGTGTGTTAATGTATTCTGAAATAGAATGATCAGATCAGGGCTGCAAAAGTTCAGAACAACACTAGATGTCAATAAAGAGCTACAGAAAGTTCTAGCTGTACTGCCATCTGGTGGGCATCCTGTGCTTGATAGCTCTATTTTGAAAGTATGTGTTTGCCTATTTCATTGATTAATCATATCATGAAAATCCATAAAATGCTAAAGGTATCTTTTCTACTCTGCAGGTATAAAAATGTACTCTATTGTGGAAACATAAAAAAAAAAAAGAACCCCAAAAACTGCTGTTTTTAAAATAATTATCTGGTGCTAGATGAATCACTCTGAGTAAATTATTTTTAATCCCCCCAGTTCATAAACTTTACAATTACAGTAAAAGAAATAGGATGATAGTTGAAGTGTAAGCTCCAGGCCCTGTAATCTCCAGGTATCATGGTGCTAGGAGTGCAAAATTCTTCTGCATGAGACCATAACCATTGTGGGCCGTCATGAACAATATGGGCAAATGGTATGATTACATATAAGGACAGCTTCACGTATTCTTGAAGTGTTGGGAGGCAGCTGTCCAATGCAGAGGGAGACTCATCTATATATCAACTTCCTACGGTTACATAACTATGACAGTAGTAAGGTTTATGATGTCAAGGCACATGTCTATTCTGATAGCCCAAACAATTGCTACAATAGAAGCAGACCTTTCTCAAGGCATCCACTTTGCTACTGATGATGCTGAAGCTTTAGCACTTGGATTGTGAAGGAGGTACAAATGGAATGCCATAACTGGTAGCTCACCACAGCTTATACCTGAACACATTTGTTGGGTTTTGAGATGCTACAAGACTCTGTTGTTTTTCTTCTGTCTTGCAGGTGTTCCTTTCCCCAAGAATTTCCAGCAGGTCTGCACAAAGATCCTCACACGCCTCTTCAGGGTTTTTGTCCATGTTTATATCCACCACTTTGACAGCATCATCAGCATGGGTGCTGAAGCTCATGTCAACACTTGCTACAAACATTTTTACTATTTCATCAGTGAATTCAGTTTGGTTGACCAAAGGGAATTAGAGCCTCTGGTAAGAAATGTGGACATCCTATCATGCTTCTCACTTCTAAACAGTAAGGGTTTCCTTTGGATGAAAGAGTGCTGGAGAGAGCAGTTGTGCAGAAATAACATGGGGGTCCTTTGGGATACCCAAGTGAGCATTATTGCTTTACATGTTCCTAGCAATTAAGCCACACACAATCTGCATAGGCACATGGTTTTATGTTGCACAGAAAGGGAGGCATACTGTGAATTAAAGAGACGTTTGGAGGGTTTTTTTGGATAAGAAGGTACCTTTTGAAGACAGGCAAAGCAGAAATCTGCACCTATACAACAACAACAACCTGCAACTGTAATTCTTAAGCACTACCAAGACATCTGTATTCCCATATTTGTTGGAGTCATGAACAGGGATTTTATGCATTTCTCTTCACTTTAGAATTATATGGAGGTAATTCAAGAGCTGCACTAAAACTTCCAGTTGTGTATTACCTAGATGTCTTAAGTAATACATGTGTGATATTCACAGGAGTGCAAAATTCATCCCCATGAAGATTCCAGTGCAGACTGGCTTCACTTATTATTTGTCGATTAGTAGATTTATATGCTGTCTTTCCTCCAAAAGCTCAAGGTGGCTTACATAGGGATCTCCCTTAATTTTATCCCCGCAACAGCAACCCTGTGAAATAGATTGGTTTGAGAGGGAGTGATGTCCAAGGTGACCTAGCAACTTCCCATGGCTATGCTTAACCGTGCTTTTTAAAACATAGTTTGTTGACTAAACCACAGTTGGTTGGCTTCACACAGTACATAAGCCCAAAGCTATATCCTATGAACCACAATTGCTGGGTTCACTTATTGCACTAAGCTGAAATGTGATTTGTTAGGTTTTGGTTTAGCAAAATGTCTGAGCCCAGCTTTATCAAAATTGATTGCTCCACCTGAAATCCAATTTTTCCAATGAGGCATTTACTGTTTGGGTACAGTTTTCTAACTTAGATGAGGATATGTGTGCAGTGCTTCACATACATCAGAACAACTATACTTCTGCTGATCCTAAAAGGCAATTAAAACACAGGAAGCCAATGAAGGTGGGAAGAAGGAAAAAAACCCTGTAATAATTTACTTCCCTCCTTCCTGTTGCTTCCCTTAAGGCATAATAAGAGGAAGTTTCTCCACAAATATCCTTGTAAAATAGCGGTAATTTGTGCTCAGTATTGTTGGCTGGCTGTGTTTCCAAGTGGGAATTTAGTTTCTTTGTACCACATTGTTCAATCAATTGATTTTAAACAATTCTTTAAAAATATGAATTTGTCTTTTTAGAGCTAGGATACACACAGCTGCATGGCCTTACTCCTCCTGCTGCCAGATTCAAAGTGGCATGTGATTAATAAATATTCTTTAACACATCCATCAGCAACCATTCCTAAGCCCAGGGATGCCAACATGACGAAATGTGTGTCATGAGATCATGGCGCAGGCTCGGCCCTTTTGTAGTTGCAACCTGATCACATTAAGAATGCCAAGGACAGAGTTGGCTCATACCATTGCAATGCACGTTGTATGGCTTGCTGTAGAGGAATGCTTACATAACCTTGATGAAGTTATGCAGGAATAGCGAAGGTGAAATAAAAGAGAACTCAGTCCTGGGAAAGAGGAAGGCATGAGAAAGAAACTCAAAATAATCCCGCCTTGAGTCTGATTGGTATAAGACATGCTGGCTGGGGAATTCTGGAAGTTGAAGTCCACACATCTTAAAGATGCCAAGGTTGAGAAACACTGGTATAAGAGAAGGCACAGACAAAGTCTGGCATGCTTTCTGTTCGTATACCCTACATGAATTAAGTAGCATTTGTGTAATCTTTGGGCTGTCTGTTTCCTGGCCTGGCTTATCTCAGTGGGTTGACATTTGCCCTCCTCTTGCAGATGCTGATGAGTGTATCTGCTGTAAAACTGACAGCTGCACTGCTTTCACAGTACAGTTACAAAACTCATTCCTCCTCTAAAATTATGGGGTACAAGTTTATTGAAATGTCCATAGCTAACATTAGCTTAAATGCTTTGACAAGAATCCTGCTACAGAGATGAGCAAGGAACAAAGCAAATTCAAATACTGCCACCAAATTAATTCTAGTTGCCAACAGAAACTAATACAGGGAGGAATCTATGTCCTCCACTCCAAACTCTGTACAAGTTCATATTTTTTTAATTAATTAATTAATTAATTAATTAAACTAATTTATATAGCCACCCATCTCACCACAGGCGATTCCAGGTGGTGTACAG